CTGTGCCTGAATTTCTATTTAGCATGTATTTTCACTTTTTAGAAGCCGTTCATGTAGCGCTTATACTGCAAGGATGCGTAGCTGTATGAGGCCCTGAGAATTCAGAGACGACTGGTCCTGCCTTCAAGGTGCTCATGTGCTGGCAGGGGTTCTGGGGTGCTGGGCGAGCGGATGGGCCATGACAGAGGCTCATGGTGGGCACTGAGATAGGTGATGGACTGATAATTTCACCAGGGAGTGGAGTTACTGGCTTGTGTCTATCTCTCTAGCTAGAGTATAAGTTCCTTGAGTTCAGAAAAATGCTTTGTTTATCTCTAAGTCTCCACACCCCTGCCCAGAGGCTGGCAGATCATCAGAAATCCACGTGTGTTTTGTTAGGGTGAACTTCAGGCTCCTGGAAGACAGGAGCTGTCTCCTTCATGCTGTTATTCTCCACTCTTCCAGTGCTCTGTACTAGGCGTGGCATAGCCAGCGTCTGCTGAAATGAGTGAAGAGGATAAGATGCTCGGAAGCAGCAGGTGCTCTGGGGACCTCTGAGTAAACTGTTGGCCTGTCTCGTCTCAGGCCAGACAAGCGCTCACCATCCATGGGACTGCTGTCTAGACCCAGGCACCGGGGGATCAGTGCTCATCCCGGTGGGGCTCTCTGTGTCTGGCTGACTGACCAGGCCTCCCAGCACCCGCCCATCCCCTAGCCACTCTCTCCGCACATGGCCAGGAGCAGGGCAGGCCAATCTAGCCAGCAGGGCAGGATCAGGAACTACAGGGATCGGCTGGAGTGACTCACTGAGATAGCACATAAACAGCCTGAGTGGCCTCAAGCAGTACCTCACCCCCTCCGCTCCCCCACCACTGTGAATGGGGGCCCATCTTGAAGTCGGGGGGGGCGGGCTCTGTGTGCAGCAGCTGCGGTGCCAGCCATCGAGTCACCCACCTTATAAAGAGGACAGAGGGGGTCCATTTTCTCAGTGTGACTTTCACGTGGCCTGATAAAGGGCTCTGGGGAGATGTGAGGTGAAAGTGCCTGCGTGCGGGCAAGTGCAGAGATTTCTAGAAGACCTTCCACTCCTCCTGTAACTCCCCCCCACCTCCATTCTGTGTTGGTGCGGGTGGCGTGGTATGCAGAGGATGAAGAAGTTATGATCAAAGTTGGACAATGTCCTGAATTCCTGAGCTAAAGAAAATCTCCCCAGTTCCTACCAGGAAGTGGGGAATTCCCCACAGTATGTGCGGAGAGGGGAGAGGAGTGCCGAACCAGGGGTCTAGGGCTGCACTAGCAAGGGCATCTCCTCCTGAGGGAAGTCCCTGCTTATCCCTGGGAGGTAGAAGTGGGCTGTTGGGAGATCCAAGGTGCCCCTTCAGGGCTGGGATGCAAGGTGCTCAGATCTCATGGGAGGCAGGCTGCCCAAGCCTTCCTCTCCCTCCCCATGCCTCCTAGCTCTTCAAGGTTCCTTTCCCTCCCCTCCCAATGCTCTTTCTGGTACTTCTTCATTCCCCTCAGTCTTCCTCTCATCTCCCCCCACCCCCAGACTGGGAAAAAGCCAAGACAGTGCCTAGCTCTGTGGAGGACTCATAGGAACTGTAAGAAGAGCTTGGGGTCTGGTCTGTGCTCCCCAGCCTGCAGCAGGCATGCACTGGGTCTCTGTCTGGGCAAGCCACTCAGCTGCTCTGAGCCTAAGCTTGCTCCTCTCTACAATGAGGATGTCACGTTGCAAAGCTGCTTGAAGAGCCATTGTGGATAAGGGCTATTTGTAAATTTGCTTTAGATATTCAGCTGTTCATTGATTCAGACCTCCATTTGACACAGTACTTATCGACACTATGTGCCAGGCAAACTTCCGTTGCTAAGGATGCAACAAGAAACAAAACAGACAAACACCCCTGTCCTCCTGGAGCTTACATTCAGTGAGGAAGATGAACAAGAGGCTAACCAGCAAATAAACAAACATTTACTAGATAATAAATATAATTTTCTCTTGTGCAAGGAAAAGGTGACAGAAGGTGTGAAATTGCCACTTCAGGATGCTCAGGAAATGTCTCCTGGAAGAAGTAACATTTGGCCAGAAACCTGAGTATGATAAGAGGGCTGAGCCACACTCTGGGAAACTGTTCCAGGGAGAGGAAACAGCAGTGCCGATGCTCTGGGGCCGGAAGATGCTTGGCTCAAGGACCAGCCTGGAGCCCGAGTGGCTGGAGTGGAGTGAACGGGGCCCGTGTGGAGGGATGAGGTCAGAGGAGAAGGCAGGGCAGGACCGGAGGGCCTTGTTTATCATGTTAGGGAGTTTGGTTTTATTCTAAGCAATAAGCAGGGGAGTGAACTGATCTGATGTATGCTTTCAAGATGACTCTGAATGGGGTGTTCACTGCCCAAGTGGGGCCAGAGGGCAGTTAGGAGGCTGTGATCATCATTCATTACCCCCCTCCCCTGCCTCTATGCCCATCCGCAGTTATCATTTCAGGGCCTGGCACACTGCCCAGCTCCTCGCCTCTGCCGCTCTCCTGGTTTATTCTTCACTGTATTTGGAGTCTGTCCCTCACGACCCAGAAGCTACCACCAGACAGCCTCCCAGGGGCTTTCTCAGAGGAGACCTCTCTGAGCATTCCATAATCTCAGCCCTCCTCCTGCCAGGACTCTCCACTCCCTGGGCCTCTCGGCCCTGCATGTGCTACCTGGGGCCCTCTCCCCAGGCCTAGGTGTCAGGAGGTTGCCCTGAGATCCCTCCGGGCTCTGAACCCCTGCCCAGAGGGAAGTTATGTTCCAGTGGTAGAGACAGAACACCTAAACAACTTCACAATGGATTATTTGTGGGTGATAAATGCTATGATGAAAATACTGGGTAAGCAGATGGAGAGTGATGGGGTAAAGGGCTACTCCAGATTGCAACCTGAATTAAGTGCATAAACCGCGTGTCTGAGAAGAGAGTGTTTCAGAAAAAGGAAAGAGCATGTGCAAAGGCCCTGAGGTGAGAAATGAGCTTATAAAGAAAGTTAATGTGGTTGGAGAATGGAGAGAAGTGGTGGGTGAGGCCACCTCACATGTAACTCCAGACCCAAACCTCACACTCCAGTTCTTGGGTCTTTCTGGCTTTTCCAGCTAGAGGTTCTATAGGCATCACCACATATTTAGTGGATCCAAAACTTAATCCATTTTCTTCCTCCCATTCCTCTTCCTGCCCTCTGGATTAAATAGTCCCCTGTGTTGGTAAGCTGGGGTAGCTGTGACTCTGGGCTTCCCTGGTGGCTCAGATGATAAAGAATCTGCCTGCAATGCAGGAGATCCCAGTTTGATCCCTGGGTCAGGAAGATCCCCTGGAGAAAGGAGTGGCAACCCACTCCAGTGTTCTTGCCTGAAGAATTTCATGGACAGAGGAGCCTGGTGTCCTGCAGTCCATGGGGTCTCAAAGAGTCAGACGTGACTGAGCAACACACACACACACACACACACACCTGGGACTCCTCCTGCCCCTCACTCCACATAGCCAGTCAATTACCAGTCCATTAAACCTTGTTTTAAAATATTTCTTGCATCCGTTTCCTCTTTTCCTGGGTCGGGGTCTCACCCTTATCATGAGGATATTTTTAAAGCTAACCTCTGATAATTAGCTGAACAGAAAAATGATCCACACTTAGAGAAAAGCTCAGTAACACAAATCAGCATGTCCTATGTGGAGGGAGGGCTAGGACTGGGTGTGGGCAACTGGAGGAAGCAGAGAAGGCTTTATGGAAGAGGGAAAGCACATCTTCTCTGAGTTCAATGACCAAGTACAGCTGTGCCCCAAGACTATCCCTCCAACACAGACCTCTCTCCAGAAACCTAGCCTTGTCCACACTCTCTGGCACTTGCCTGCCCTCAACAGCCCCTCCAGGAGCTCAAACTGAACGAGCCCAAGTTTGCACTCATCATCCCCTGCCAGTAGGCCTGCTCCTCTTAGTAGAATAGTCGTGACTGAGCAACACACACACACACACACACACACACACAGCTGGGACTCCTCCTGTCCCCTCACTCCACATAGCCAGTCAATTACCAGTCCATTAACCCTTGTTTTAAAATATTTCTTGCATCCGTTTCCTCTTTTTCTGGGTCGGGGTCTCACCTCTATCATGAGGATATTTTTAAAGCTAACCTCTGATAATTAGCTGAACAGAAAAATGATCCACACTTAGAGAAAAGCTCAGTAACACAAATCAGCGTGTCCTATGTGGAGGGAGGGCTAGGGCTGGGTGTGGGTAACTGGAGGAAGCAGAGAAGGCTTTATGGAAGAGGGAAAGCACATCTTCTCTGAGGTCAATGACCAAGTACAGCTGTGCCCCAAGACTATCCCTCCAACACAGACCTCTCTCCAGAAACCTAGCTTTGTCCACAATCTCTGGCACTTGCCTACCCTCAACAGCCCCTCCAGGAGCTCAAACTGAACAAGCCCAAGTTTGCACTCATCATCCCCTGCCAGTAGGCCTGCTCCTCTTAGTAGAATAGCCCCACTGCCCATCTGCTTAATCACAAGCCTGGGAGACATGCTTGACTATTCTCCCCTCCACCTCTATGCCTAAGCAACCTTCAAGTCCTGTTAGCTGGAAAGGGCCTTGGACCCTTCCTCTTGGCCTCAGCTCCCCGGCCATCCCTTGGTTCAAGCCACCACTACCTCTCACTCAGACCACGTAAATCACCTCCTAAGAGATCAATGAGCCCATCCCTTGCCCTCCTCCAACCCATAATCTACGCTTTGGTCACTCTGGACCAGCTAAAGTGCAAATCTGCTCATTGTAAACCTCCACTGTAAACTTCTTACTGGCTTCTTGTGGCTCTTAGGATAAATTTTAAACTCTCCAGGGCCCCTGGGTAACTTTCAGGCTCTCCTCTTGCCACACTCTCTACTCCAAACATTATGATCAACTTTCAGTTCCTAGAATGCACTCTCTTGCCCCAGGCCTTCCTACTTTTTGCTTTCTCTGGCCCCAACATCCTTGCTGCCCCATCCCCTCCCTGGTTCTCTTGCCTACCTAATTCCTACTCACACTCAAGAAATCAGCAGCATCTCCTCTTCGAGCAAAACCACTGTGCTTGGGACTTCCCTGGCTGTCCAGTGGTTGAGACTTTGCCTTCCAGCGCAGTGGGTGTGGGTTGAATTTCTGGTCAGGGAGCTAAGATCCCATATGGCAAAAAACCTGAAACATGAAACAGAAGCAATATTGTAACAAATTCAATCAAGACTTCAAAAAGGTCCACACATACAAAGAAAGACCACCATCATCTTCTCAAGGCTGGATGAGGTGCCCCTCCGGGGTGTTCCCCTCGAACCCTGAGCTCACCTGGCTACGCTGCCATTGCCCTTTTATATCTGTCTCATCCACAAGCCTGGGAGGTCTTTCAGCACTTACCTGTCTAGCTTGCAGGTGGTTGAAACCTCAGCTCTTCGCGTAGGGCTTGGCACTCTAGTAGAAGTTGCTCCAGACATATTTTTTGAACGGATGGATGGGTGATGTGAGAATGGAAATGGGGTTTAGACTCTGGGTGCATCTAGAAAAGAAAAAGCATCACAGGGAGTGGTGCAGAAGGGGCATGGCAAAGACAAAGTTGTGGGATGGCTGTGGGTATGCTACAATTAGGAGCAGAGGAGGCCGGCTGATGGGAGTGGAGGGCAGGGGTGGGATAAAGGAAGATGAGATCAAAAGGCAGGTGGGGCCAAGTTAAGGCACTCAGACTTCATCCCAGAGGCAATAAGGAGCCTCCAAAGATTACAAGCAAAAGCTGTGACATGGTCAAAGTCATGTTTAGTCTGGTGTGGCTTGCAGGGGTTTGGGGGAGACAGGAGTCTGGAGACCACTCCCAGTAGAGGGTCCTGGGGAGCCTGTTTCAAGCCCCTCTTTCAACTGGGAGACCCCCATCCAGCCTCAGACCTCCAGCAGCCTTGGGCTGTGGAAGGAAAGCTTGCACTCTGGGGCTTCCTCCTCCACTGCAGGGCTTGCCTCCCCTTCCTGGTGACTCACCCCGGAGGGTCAGCTCCAAGCAGAAAGTCATCGCTGACAGGAAGAGGGGCCAGACTCTCTTTCCCCCACAGGCTTCCTGGGCACCAAGACAACAGCACAGGACAGCAAAGAGTGGGGAGGGAGGCCCCCGAGCGTGCTGCGAGCAAGCCCTCCTGACCCGCGCTGCCCGCCCACCCTCTGGGGTCCCACAGCGTCACATGACAGCCAGGCTGACAACGCCAGTTGCTGGTGAGTCACACGGCCCTGGAGACCCTGTCACCGCCAGATGAGAGGTGCGAAATCCAAGAAGGAGCAAGGAGACACCATTCCAACCCTGGCAGCCTGGTTGAGGTGAAGGCGGGGTGGACTCTGGAGCCAGTGAGGGCATCAGCGTGGGGACGAAATCTGGCAAGGCTTTTTAAGGAAGTGAGAACTGAAGGAGGTGGGCAGAGGGCCACTGGCTCCCAGAAGGGTGTATCCTGGGAGTGGGATCAGGTCAAGTAACCCGTCCCTCTGACATAGAAGCTGGCAAGAGTGAACTCACTGTGACAGTCCACGAGGCAGACTGGCTCCAACCCCTGAAGTCGCGGGAGTTTAGAATTTAGGAGACGGACATCACATGTGGTTGCCTAGTTCCTCAGCTAGGTCATCCCACAAGATTCTGGTGGGAGCCAGAATGTTTAGTAAGAGAAGGCTGAGGTGCCTATAGCTAACGATGCCATTTCATACACTTACAATTTGGTTAAGAGGGTAGACCTCCTGTAAACGTTCTGACCACAGAAGCAAAGCAAAGCAAAACAAAACACCAAGGGACACAGGAACTGCTGGAGGTGATGGATATGTTGGTTGTGGTGATGGTTTCATGGGTATATGCATCTGTTCACACTCATCAGATTGTGTACATTAAATTTGTACAGTTCTGTATATATCAGTTACACTTCAATATAGATGTTGAAAGAGAGAGCAGGGCAGCAAAAGAGACACAGATGTAAAGTACAGACTTTTGGACTCTATGGGAGAAGGCGAGGGTGGGACGATTTGAGAGAATAGCACGAACATGTATGTTACCATATGGAAACTAGATGACCAGTGCAAGTTCGATGCATCAATAAGGGCACCCAGGGACAACCTAAAGGGGTGGGGTGGGAAGGGGGTGGGGAGCGGGGGTTCAGGATGGAGGGACACACGTATACCCATGGCTGCTTCATGTAGACGTATGGGAGAAAAAATCATGATATTGTAAAGTGATTATCCTCCAATTAGAATAATTAATTAAAAAATGAAAGGAAAGAGAGAGAGCAAGCCACAAGTTTGGGTGTGGAGATAGGGAAAAGAGGGAACTTGGAGTCCGGAATCCATACACACACAGGTGTTTTCTCAACCCAAGGTTGAGGGAACCGTGAACCAGAAGGCAGGAATTCTGAGTTCCCTTTGGGTTCCAGGCTCTGTGTCTAGGAGCGGCTCCAGTGAAACCCACTTCATCTCCTGTCTTGAGCTCCCATCTCCCCTGTGCAGGGGGAAGCAGAAGCCAGACCCTGCTGCTCACCTGCTGGACGGCGCGAAGGGATCCCCTCCAGCTGCTGTAGTGAGCAGCTGGAGTTAGCAAGCCTGGGAGCCAGAGGTAGGTGTGAAGAGCAGATGTGGGTGCTAGGCCTGGGCTGAGGGCTTTGAGGCCGGCAGTGAGAGGGGAAAAGGTGAGAGGGGAGCTGGGTTGAGGAATAGAGTATTGAGGGAAGGGACATACCCCAGGAGAGGGGCTGTAGGTTCTTCCCCACAGCCACTGCAGCACCCTGAGTGGCAAGTCAGAAGGGAGCCCTGTTTTCCTTTCTGTCTTTTCCTTCTCCTTTCCTTTCTCCCAGTCCTCCCAGCACTGCAGACCCTGCAGCTGGTTCGTAAGAGGGAGCCAGAGCTGGTGGGGCCCTCTGCCTGGAACTCTCTTCTCAGAGTGGCATCATGCTGGGTCCTCGTCAGTCTTGACTGAAACATCATGGCTTCTAAGAGATCTTCCCTGACTGTCACTATCTCAGCCCCTAGTTCTTCTCACAACTGCTCTTACACCATCTGCTATCTCCTGTCATTTGTCTCCTCATCTACTCCCACCCCCCAACCAGAACACAGGCTCAGCCAGCTCAGGGACCTTGTCTATGTTGCTCTCAGCTGTGAGGACAGCGCCTGCACAGAATAACTGCTCAAATTTAGTTTATTCATAAATGAATAATAATTGCTAACATTTTTTGAGTGCTTACGACAAACCAAGCACTTTCTTTGTGTATTAACTTGGTAAAAACTGTGAGCCTCAGGGTAAATCCATCTCCCTGCCTACTTTTATAAACAAAGCTTTATCGTCCTGCACACCACAGATGTAAGTACTGTCTATGGCTGCCTTTGAGATAAACATGATGGCAGAGTTGAACAGTGATGACAGAGACAGTATGGACAGTAAACCAAAAATATTTACCACCTAGCCCTTCACAGAACAGTTTGCTGACCCCTGTGTTAACTCATTGACCCCTCACCAATGCCTGTGAGACCAGTTTATTATCATGCTCACCATCTTACAAGTAAGGCAATGGAGGCACAGAAGGCTTGTCCCAGGTCACATGAAAGTAACTACAAAGGTACTGAACCCAAACAGTATTGCTCTGAAGTCCATGTTCCTAGCTAGCTGCCATGTTCCATGACCTTTCTAGGAAGGGACAGGAAGAGAAAGGGAAAGTCAAGAAGTCATAAGCATTTTGGTGTAGCCTCCTAAAAAGGAAAGGAAAATGGAAAATAGGGAATGTTAGGGCAGCTGGGAGGCCAGCAGCCGTTATGATACTGGGCCTTTGCTCTTGAGGCTCAATTCTGAGATCCAGAGCTCTCAGATTCTGTTCCCTAGAGCAAGAGTCCCATCCCTAAACATAAGTGATGACCCCCTTCCTTCAATCACCATTTAGGACATGAGATCCTGACATTCTTCTTAAATCTTAAACCTTGGCCTCAGCTACTGTTTATCTCCATGAGAATCAAGGACTCAGGGATCTCTGATTTAGCTCAGCTTCCCCAGTGGCTCAGGCAGTAAAGAATCTGCCTGTAATGAAGGAGACCTGGGTTTGATCCTCTGGGTCAGGAAGATCCCCTGGAGAAGAGAATGGCTATCCACTCCAGTATTCTTGCCTGGAGAATTCCATGGACAGAGGAGCCTGGGTGCTACAGTCCAACAAAGAGTTGGACACAACCGAACATCTGACACTTTCACTTTTCGCTTTCAAGGGTGATTGGAAGTTGTACATACTAATTTTTTTTTTCAGTTCCACAAATGTGTCAGCCTCTAGGGGCTCTGGCATATGAGCATGCTTGAGAACCTGTCATTCTTCTGATGTTGAAATTTGGATGAAATACAACACAGAGGTTAAAGGAACCAAGAAGCAGAATCAGAGGATAAACTGCAGTCTTAGAAATTACGTTTGGAAATTACACCCTCACATGTGAGGTCATCTAGTAGGGTGAGGAGCTTTTCCTTATTGAGTGGAAAAAAAGAAAAGAATCAAGGCAAGCTGGAGAGGAGACTTACTTGAAGTGAGCCGAGCTGAGCCTGTGGGCCGTGTCCAGGTAGGGAGTCCAGATGGAGAGTGAGCGGCTCTTGGAAGGTGCACTCTGCTGGCAGTGGAGGAGCAGCCACCCCCAAACCTCTGGCCTCTGGAGCCCACTGCAAGGTTTACCTGGCACCTCCTCTTTTCTAACTGCGTTTTATCATGACCACACCCTGAGAGAGGTGTTTCTTTCATCCCTGCCAGAGAGGTTACGAGATTTGCTAAATGTCATATAGCAAGTGGCACCAGACGACTCTCGTTCATTTGGATGAATTCTTTACTCATGAAATGACCTCCTGATGATTCATCAGAGGGCCTGATGAAGGGACAGAGGCAGTCTGGTGGACTTTGGTGTTTGAATTCAATGTGTCCATCTAAGTCTCTGCTGCATTCTCAGTACCCAACACCTGGCTCAATATTTGTGGAGAGTATAGAAACGACAGGTCCCAACTCTGGGGGAGCCCCCAGTCTGGTGGAGAGGGCAGAGCAGCTACACACATAGGCCTAAAATAAGCTGGAAAGTGGAAAGGGACGCCCAGATGGAGACAAAAATGCCATGGGCTTCTGACAAGGACGAAACCGCGCAAGTCGGAGAAACAGGAATTTTTAGAGAAGGTGGCAGCTGGGAGATTTACTTCCGTGGGTGGGGATGGGGGCCTCGTGACAAGTCTCTGGCCTAACTGGTCCTCACCCCATCAAACCCCTGTCACTCACACGTGGCCACCCCAAGCCACACTCCTCTGCCCTCGGTCTTTGCTGCTCTCTCTCCTCGAAATGCCCCTCCCTTCTCTCCTGCCCTTGGCTCTCCCCTCCCCTCCCCCACAGACTGTACCAGACTCCCACACCCTCTCTTGCGGGTCCCAACCTGGGCTTCCTGTCCGAGTCACTAACTACAGGCTGGGGCACTGGAGTCGGCTACTTACTTGTCAAACCTCCTCTAGCCCTACGCGACTGTGAGCTCCTGGAGAGCAGACCGTCTTTTACTGTGAAAATTCCAGCAATAACCTTGAGCCAGGCCATAGTAAGCACTCAGTAAAGATTCATTGAGCAGATGTGTATCCACTCTTTGTGGGGCCTACGGGGAGATGATAGGAGATGAGGCTGAAGCACAGGCTTGGACCAACCAGAGGAAGGCCTTGCCGCCAGGAAGAGGCATGTGTGGAGCCACTGGGGCACTAAGTGAGCCACAGTGGCCGATGGTGCCTACTGACAGAATTGCCCTGCAGACACATAAGGGCCAGAGCAGAGAAATGAGAGGCCAGGAGAAAGGCCTGAGGCTTGCTCTAGCATCCTGATAAGCATGCAGCTCTCTGCAATCTGCACAGGTCCCCCAGGCTCTGCCCACACCTCATCTCACCGACACAGTGAGTTTCAACCCTGCAGCTCTGGCATCCTGCCTGAACCCGTGACCTCAACCAAGCGCAGAGGACCTGTGACTAGCATGTGACCCAGCAGCCAGCCGGGGGACAGGCCACAGTGGGATGGGGAAAGAGGAGCTCAGCTTAGGTATGGGGAGGGGAGGTCGTTCCCAGCAGGGGGGATGACCTGGGCTCTTGAAATCCATTCATTCACTCATTCATTGATGAATTCATCCATTCAACAAAACTTTTATTGAGCACCTAGTATGTTTGGGTCCTGTGGGAGACCAAAAGCTGTCTCTAGAAGCTCAGTTTAGTTGGTAGAAGTGTAGGAACTATACACGCAAAGGGAGACACAAGCACAAGGGAGGCAGAGAGAAAAGCACTGTGGAATCCAGAAGAGGGAGAAAGCATTCCTGCTGACAGCAACAGGGAGGCTTCCTGAGCAGGCCCATTGCAGCAGCACCTTGAAAGGTCATTTCAACAGGAGGACCCAGGAGGAGTAGGAAGGAACAGCAGGCCAGGCAGAAGACGGCCATGAGCTTCTGGGGGCGGGAACTTTAGGAGTTTTATTCTGTCCCTGATCCCTGCAGGGCTCAATAATCAGGTGTCATATTTCCTGAGTGAGCAATGAACTTCTCCTGGTCCCTCCACCTTCCCTCCCCACCTAGACCCATCACTGATCACCTAAACTTCTCTCTCAACAGCATTCAGTCTCCTGAATCCCTTTTCTTCTGCCAAATGCACACCACTGACATCAAAGGCAAAACATCTCTTCTCTTGACCCCACAAATCTTTCCTTGCATCCTTGATCTTGCCCCTGCCTGCCCCTAGGATCCATGCTCCTCCAGTGGCCTCCGTCCCTCCATCTGTTTAGCCTCTTTCTCTCT